GCAGGGAGCCTGATGCGGGGCTCAATCCCAGGACCCTGGGATCATGACCTGAGCTGAAGGCAGCCGCTTAACCGACTGAGCCACCCAGGGGCCCCTCAGTGAAAGCAAATTTAAATCCTTTTCAATAAAGCAATCTATACCTCGGACCTACGTAAACTAAAACACCACTGCACTCAACTAGTACCTGTCTTAGATGTGGTTACTCCCAAATTATTAGCTAATTCTCTCAACACTATTTTACCAAATTTTCAAGATGACCAAAATAATAGTTATTCTCTCATTTGGTAAATACCACTTTATAACAACAACAAAAAAAAACTGTTCTTTCAGGACTTTATTTTGTTTATTAATAAAGTAAATCATTATTATGATTTTTGAAAAAAAAATTTAAAAATGTTCAGCCTTCATGTTAATGTAGGTTAGGCCATCCAAAAGACAAAGCAAAGAGTTAACATTAAGTCATGGTCCAGGATTATACTTACGAGAAACAAATACAGGGCTTACAGTACTTGATAAGCAAAGACAACCAAAATAAACCGTATTTCAAATTTGTTTCTATAAAAACATATTAAAGATCACTTTAAAATAGTGTCCATCTTTTCTTTTAAATGTGCATAGCCTCATCTGCAATCATGTACAAATATAATAAACTTGACTAATAGCTTTCTTAATCTTTTAATACAAATACAATTCCTTGCCTCTTTATGCAACCCAACAAAATAATATAAAGTGAAGTCATTAGAAAAATATGGAACTTTCTGAATCTATATTGCATTTTTAATTTAGATTGGAAAATACAGTTCAGATCATATGAAACACATGGATTTCAGGCTTACATATTACCTATGTCTTACAAATTATCAGATATGGTTCTTTATTTTGGCTGAAATGCAAAAATATGATTAATTTCTTAATAACAGATTAGTTATTTTAAAAATAGTTTCCATTGATAGCAGTGCTAGTCCTAGAACAAAATGTAAGCAAAACATATTTGTAAGTCACTGTCTATTCGGTGCCCCAAATATACAGATCCTAACACTAAGCCCTTAATATACATTTGCTTTAAAGATTACTGAATGGACATCTCAGGTGTCTGATAATCTTTAATTTGAACAATCCTGTAAACATAGTCAAAATCTTTCTAAAAGAAACAAAATTCAAGTAAACATTGCATATTTGATTTAAACTAATCTTACAGTTAAATTCACCTATGACACACTGGATCAAAACCATTCCATATGTAAAAAGGTTTTTAAAATTCATCCACATGTAAAGATGGAACTAAACTCTGTAAACGTGTTCATGTTCAATAACTACTGTACTGCAGCTGCTCTTTGGTTTGGCAAAGTGATATTGGTCAGATGCCTCAGGTACTGAATATTCAAGTAAATCTGTACCCAGGTAAAACCAAGACTCCTGTCGACTTTGTCTTTAATGGCAATGGCAAGCCCTGAAATTCAACTTTATTTTCCTTAAATATCACACCACAACTATTCAAAGTGTTTGACAGACCAAAGATAGTACTAATACATTTTGAAGGCCTTCATTTTGACCTTTCCCCCACAGTTGATAGAGCTAATCAATACCAGTTGAAATACCAAAGAGGCAGCCTTGCCCTGACTCCCATGCAGCTTGTAGGCCCCTGCTGAATGACCATTAATATGTATGAATAAATCAGCCACGTATTTAGAATGTGGCAAAATGTTGGCCATAAATTAAAGCAAAGGTAACTAAAGCAAAAAGCTTTAAGTGAAAATTTCTGAAAAGGTGTTTGCTATGCTATTAAAGATGATGGTGAAATACAACTTAAAAGAGAAAGACACCACCACAAAAGTGCCTGGATAGGTTAAAGGGGAAATTTATGTTTCCTCAACTGTTAATCAGGTGCATGCAAATCCTTTGATCTAAATGTAGAAATACTCACAAAAAGTACCAGAACAATTCTGAAAGTAGTCAAGTAGGTTTAAACATTCACAATTTCCTTATAATACATAAAATGCCAAAATGAAGTGATATTTTGTTATCCCTTAACTCTCGGTTTTCTAGAGTCAAGATTATTAGGACTACAAAGTTGAAATAAAGACAAGATCATAATAATAATATTCCAAACTATATTTTCAAAGCTAACTCATTCCTTTGGCTCAAAGGGGGGAAAAACCCATAACTTCCTTTTAAAATCTAATATTAGTATAGCCAACAGAATTAGACAAGTCCTATGAACTGAAGATCTGGAATAGCTGACTATAAAATTTATGCTACACTAGGAAATTACAGAGCTATCCCTACCATATGTTTGGCATACAGGAGGTACTCTGAAAATATTTGTTGGATGAATGAAATGTAAGGTTAATTTTGCAAAATTAGGAATCAAGGAATGTGAGGTCATCCAGTCCAACTCATACATAACACCCTTTCCTCCCAATTCCATTTTACAGATAGGGAAACTGTAATGGTTGATACTTACAGATGCTGGTTAAGATTTATCTCTACCCAATACTGGAAGCAATCAATCATTTTGGTTTGTGTGTGTATATTTGACTAAACAGGATAAGTGAGGAGTAACATTTCTACCTTGTTTCTCCTTTACAGGATACAGTATTTTCCCTTAGAATTAATGCAACAATTCCTGTCACTTAGATTGCATTTCAAAAGGAAAAGGAGATCTAGGTCTACCAGGCAGAAAGGGGCTGATGTTTAGGAAGTCAGATTTAAAATTTTGCATGTAAGAGTGGAATTCACTGCTCACAGACTAGAAGTCTTAAATGACTACTTAGGTTAGAATTTCTTTCCAGAAAGAGGAATTACACTAAGCAGTTCTACCCTAGTTCAAACTGCCTTTCAAGTCACTGTTTAAGCTGTTACAGGACTACCGTAAAAAGTTTCAAAGTAATTTCTAGTAATCGCCTAAATTGACACGTGAAAGTCAATAGCATGTTGCATTCTAAATACCTTGGGACCAGAAATAACTTTTAACAGCTTACAATACCTGCCTATCTTCCTCTTTACTTTTCTTCTAGCCACTGCCACTATTCTGACTGTGTCCAATATTTCTATAGCACATGTGCCTTTGTGTCTCCCTGCCCATAAAAATACCCATGAAAGTTCAACAAAAAAGTAATTTAAAAGCAGAGAGAACCTATTTCCTATACTGCCAAATTTCCTTTAAGCCTCGGGCACAACACTACATTTCATGGGTGTATTAATGTTTAGAACTAAGCCATCAATGAATTATACAAATGTGCTCCATGTTTTAAATAATTATATTTAGATATCTGAATCTTTCTGAGTGTTATTTTATAGCCAACAATAAAAAACTTTATTATAAATGTTGAAAAGTATAAAACAGTAATTATAAATTAGCAAACACCCAATAAAAAAAAGTTATTTTCTTTTCCTTACACAGTACAAGCAACAGTAAATGGATATTATTATTCACCTTAAGCCACCATACTGCCCTACATGTACTTCACTTAAGACAACTTTTCAGCTTGTGTTTCGGGAACGAAACTTTATATGGATACTAAGAAACACTCTAATTATGTAACTCAGGTGTCAAAAAAATACATATGCCATGTTAACATGTGACTTGATAGCTCATAGTATAGCATCTCATAACAGGTAAGTGTTATTTCCAAAGTAAAATTAAGTCACTTTTGTAGCAGTAAGTTGATGTAGCACAAATGGGTGTATTTAAGATTAAGGCATCTTTCTGCTCTGGAGTAATGCTTCTTCTGTGGATCTGGCAATCTGTACAAAGGCTTCCTTTTTAAAAAATATATCTTCTGTTATACTTCAATTATTTCATTCCACTGATCATTTTCTTGTAAATAAAGCTGAAAATATCAGTCCATAATATGTTTTTATAAACCTACAAAATCAGAAACAACTGAAGTTATTGGTTAAAACTTGTTTTATATTTCTGAAAGGAAAGATTTATTAAATGGTTCTGTGGTCTAAGGTATAAAGCTGCTAAAATAACAAGACAGAGAATAAATATTTTAATACTACTAATATTGTAATAATAACAAAGATTTTTATAAACAGTAAATAAGTGATATCTCTGACTTTCTTACTCTGAAGCAATCAAGAGAGCATTTTAAAAAGAGGTAGATTCTTACAGTTCTCCCTTACTGTTAACTTGGACATAATCTGAGGAGACACCTTATCTACCCCTTCATAAGACTGCTACAGGATATGGGGAAATACCCAGAGCAACACTTATAGGTCGCTGAGATTTTCAACAACCACACATCAGACATTATCCTGCTCACATTAAGAATCTTAAAACCAGGACTATACCACAGCCGCAGTTCTGGCTGACATGATCATCACACGATACAATCACCACTCATCTTCGGAGTCCAGCCTGACACAAGCCCCCACTGAGAGCGCTGTTCCGATTCAGTCTAGGTCTTAGGCTCTGGCTGTTACTTTGGACATGGGCTCTGGGTCCTTTGTAGGGAACTGAAAGCTAATGAAAAATGCTGAGCAAGGAAGCAGACGTTCCCCTAATTGAGACTCCAGATGAGAACTCTTTGAAAAAAATGAACTCTCCTGACACAGAGAAACTGAGGTAATAAATGGATGTTGTCTTAAATTGCTAAGTTTGTGGTAATTTGTTATGGAGCAAAAGATAACCAATACACATTATAAGGAAGACTTCAAAAAATCTAATAGCTGCCTAAAATGCTACTGAGTCACGGAGCTAGCTCCTAAGTTAAACAGACAGTGTTTTGAAGTATCAGGAGAGACAGAGAATTCATTACATCCCTCAAAATCCAACTTAGTTACATTACTCACTGCTGATACTACAGTTTATGTTTAATCTGTTTGGAACATCCTCGATTGCTATTTAAATTAATTTCCTCTGGCTATTGTCTCGGGGCTAGCCAGA